TCTACCCAAATCACACTGAATTTCCTTAGGGTAACCTGATCTAGAAAAGATTTGTATCAAGGCTTGAATCACACATTTAGAGTTTAAATTCTGTACAGGAATGGCATCTGGATATTTGGAAGCAACACAAATAGACGAAATTAAGTATTTATTTTCACGCGAACTAGGGATCAGAGGACCTACTGCATCAATATTTAATCTGCTAAAAACTTCTGATATAACAGGCACAATCTTCATAGGGGCTTTCTTTTTATCCTTATTGTGACCTACACGCTGACAAATATCGCACGTCCTCACAAATTCTTCAATTTCCTGGTAGCAATTAGGCCAGAAATAGGATGTGTCAAAACTCTATCCTTGGTTTTTGTTACCCCTAAATGACCAGAGATTTCCTCGTGGCATAACTTCAAGATCCCTTTCCTAAAAACGAGAGGCACACACAGCTGACGCTTATCTTCCCCTTTTTTAGAACTTGCCACTCTGAATAGTCTTTCCTTGACTATTATAAACTCTTTTTCATTTTCACTTTCCTCTTTCATCCACAGGGTCGCTAAACTAGCGCAAGTTTTTTGTGCTTCCGAAGAATTCTGCTGGCGAAACATCCGCAGGGATAGACCTTTCTTCTAAACTGATGTCTGCAATTTTAATCGCCTCCTCCGTATTACTGGTTAAATTCCTTTCTTCCGAATGCTCATTATTGACGGCCCCTTTCACTCTTTCTATCTCTTTCTTTTCTTCCGATCTGGAATCGAAGTCTTTTGCACTCGCTCTCTCTAAACTCCTGCGCGCATGCGCCTGACTACGAGTCTCCACAGCATTCAAGAGAACCGGTCGTTCCCTAATTTTCTCAATCAACTGTGCAGTTTTATTCCCTAACAAATAGTACTCTTATCTAACTCTACCGGAGAGTAACCGCTGCCTTTGTGGTGACCACACCAAAATCACCTTCAATGGTGACTTTCGCCAAAGGTAAACATTTACATTCTGTGTCCAAAGGCTGTTTCGCCCATACAGTTTCCCCTAATAAGTCATTAGTATTAATCCAAGTACTATTACACAGATCTATACCAGCTCCAGTATCTCTCAGATATTCTCTCTCTATCCCATTAATTACCGCTTTCTTGAAATACGGCTCAAAACATTTTCCTAAACTCTCCGTTCCTAGATTAGTCACCAGATTAGCCTTATTCTTTTCCAGCGACGGACAGTTAGGTCGGATATGTCCGTCCTTTCCACATTGGTAACACCTTATTTTCCGCTGTTTCTCGAAACCTGCTTCATTGAAAACTTGCTTTTTTTAGGAGCCTCCACTTTTCTATGCTCCTCTGATTTAATTCTTTGATGACCACTACTTTTCTGATTATAACTACAATTAGAATTTTACATACCGCTCTCTATCTTTCTCAAATGGTTTCTTTAACCCCACTCTCTGTTCTAACTTCCTCGTATCTCTTCGCAAAGCCTCATACTAGTCGCATTTCTCTGCTAAAATGGAAGCTGTTAAATTCTCCCAATTGTCTAAGTAGTGCTCTCTTATTTCTAGAGGGACTCGCCGCTTAATTTGCTCAGTGAGCATAAGTTCCTTAAGACTTTCAAAATCTTGAACTTCTACTGAATCCAACCAACTCTCTAAATACACTCTCAATTCATACACTAAATCCACCCATAACATTCCGTTTTTCTAGAATGTTCTTCAAATTTTGTTTTTAGTGCCCAAGAACTAAGCTTGAATCTCTGCATGAGTAATTTCTTAACATGCTTAATCATCCCCTTTATCCACTGGTTCTTTCACTATTAACTGGGCTACATCGTAAGGTAATAAAGGAATTAATTGCGAGACCCAATCAATCTCATTAACGTTCTCTTTTTGAGCTTGTTTCTCAAATAGCATAAAGAATAATGAAATATCTGTATTACTCGGTTCAAAACGCGGTACTAGATCTTTCAAATTAACCTTTTTTTCTCTAGATTGTTCAACTTTCGAAATCCGTGGAAGCTAGGCTCTTAGTCTGAACCACATTCATCAGTTTTAACCTTTCTAATTCAAAAACTCGCTCCCGTTCCCGTTCCGCTCTCTCTTGTTCACTTTCCCGTTCTGCTCTCTCTTGTTCACGTTCCCGTTCTGCTCTCTCTTGTTCACGTTCCCGCTCTGCTCTCTCTTGCTCGGCTTTTTCTTCTGCTTTTCTCTGCTCAGCCGCAGCCCAAATTCTTGCCGCGTATTCTTTCGCAGCTTCTTCTTCATAGTCCTCGGCATTTAGAATAGCCTGCCTAATTTCTCTTACTCTATTTGCCTGAGACACATTTGTTTCAAACTCCTCCGCTAACTCCAATAGCAGAGCTTTAGTAAATTTTCTCATAAACTCACCCATTATGGAAAATTAAAGAAAAATAACCTGCCCCGAAAAACAATAATACAAAAACAACAACAGGTCTATCTTTCCAAACCTGAATAATTTCCTAACAATTCTGAACACAAATTGCCTTACAACACTTAATGATAATATCTATGCCTACAAACAAAGCGTATATAAAAAAATGCTAATTAAGAGGCAACCTTTTCCTGCTCTATATCCAAAATAAGCCTAGTCTCGAATAACTGGCATAACCTCTCCAAAATCACAAAAATAGTACTGACCAATTTTGAAGACGCCTTCGATTGACTCTCCTGGCACTACTTGGATATTCTTCCTGGAAATTTCACTATTTTGCGGCACTAGATCACGCTTCCTCCGGTGTTCCCTTCTGACACACTGTCACTTTTCACTGACACCTGTCACTGAAGAGGCTTCACCAAGCGAACTGTCCTTGCACGCAAAATTAGATCGTTCTTGTGAAGAAGAAGAAAGTTCTTGACTGTTTACATAAAACTCAAGTTCACAGGCGAAAAAGTCCGTTCCTAAATTTACTCTCAGGAACAATCCCTAAAAAGCTGCCACCAAATTTTTAATATTTACTGCTGTGGTGTAGTGGCCGAAACCGCTATGCAAAACCTGGGTGGTGACATCAGGTTCAAAACAAAACACAGCATAAAAATTTATGAACGAACAAAAAAAAAAAAAAATGGCTACATACAATTCTGCAGAGAAAAACCTATCTAACTCAAAAATCAAATTCTATACATTTTACGTGCGAGAGCAATTCGTGGCTCTCGAGCTTGCGTTTTTTAACATTGCAACGATTTAATTATTTTAATAAAAACTATTTTAATAACTATTGAAAACGTATTTGTAAGTTAAAAAAATAATAATTTTCAGCTTATGCTCACGAGACATCCTTGTCCATATAAATCTTCAGTCTCTTCTTCTTTTATGTAACCTTATCACAATGTATATAAACTATATAAATCTTCGGTGCTTTCTCAAAACCGTGATACTTCCCGTTATGTAATTTGTCTTTTATTTTCGTTTCAAGGTTTTCTGGAATCTTGATCCCTTAGATCATTAGGTCTTTTGTAAATTCCATGATAAGAAAGCTTAAAGAGAACAAAAAATCATAGACATCACATGACTTCTTTGTATGACTTATTAAATTATACACATATTTCGCTGCATTTCATTTAAACTTTATTAACCGATTCTTCAAGGCTAGTTCAAAAGGACAACAAAAAATGCACATTTTGGAATTAAACATGCCAGTCAATTACTTGCATTTTTATTTTTTCAATAACAAGACCAACGATTTCGAAATTAATAAGGGTAATACCTAACGGTTATAGGTACACATATAACCGTTGGGTTATATGTGTATATGACCTTTTCTATAGTCAAAATCAGCTAATGAACCATTCCAATACATTTTTAATCTTAACAGTTCCCCCGAAAAGCAAGGAATTTTTTATGGAAGAGGAATCGTAATTAATTTCGATGTATCCTCCTCCTGACGACGTTATGTCGGAGTTGATTGAATTCCTCTTCTTTCATGTTCTTTTTACATTATTTATTTTTGTTATTTCTTCTAATGGTTAATTTTAATTTTTATTTTAACATTTTCAGAATTCTGATTCTACATTTATAGGATTTTTTTAAATTTATTTAATTGAATTTCAATTCTTCAACTCTGGTGTCCCTCGATGCAAGGAAATATGGCAAAAATACAAAATAAAACCATTAATGAAGATTTTCCTTATTTAAAATGAACCAATTCTAAAATTGAAAACTAACCCATTATACGTAAGAAAAAAACTAGCAAATTCTAAATTTATAGGATTTTTTTAAAAATTTATTTATTTGAATTTCAATTTTTGCTCTTTGTGAAAAAGTTTTTCTAAATTTCTTACTTTATGTATTTATTGATCAATTCAGCGGCATAATGCGTGAAAATTCTTGAAATGATTTTATGTTTTCCTTTATAAATTTTTTTTTGTGTTTAGAGCAATAAATAAAAAGGAGAGGTGCACAACTAGATGTTATTAATAAGCTCAAAGCAAACAAGTGTACGTTTTGGCACTAAATGGCAAAGTCATTTAGAATTCTGCGTCGTTTTTCATAAATTCTGGTTAGATTAGTCTATCTTCCTGAACTTTATAAAATGTGTTATTTTGTAAATGGTTGTCTTAGAACAAAATCGAGTTACTAAGCCTCTTAATCCCTCACCTAACGACATTCCTTTGTCCTTTGGCAGTTTTTATATTCTAATTTTACCTTATTTGGGGATTTTGCCTTTTATCTGGCGATTTTAGTTCAGTTTAAAGAATTTATTCTATAACATGTTGATAACATTAATCAAATTGTTGATCAAAATAAGCTATGTATTTTCTATGTCTTCATATACAAATGGCGAGGACTTCGGTAATTCGGTAACAATATACAAGTATGAATGATAACACCGACGCGATCACAGTAAGCTGCGTGTACTGTAGTGATTAATCTGAATTGTTGTTTTTCAATAAACTTGGCACGATGACTATCTGGAATTTTTTATTCATTGTATTTGTTTTATTTATTGTATTTGATGCTGATTTATACTTGGTAGATATTAATCTAAATTTCTCCTTTTTATAGAATTGGAAAGATGAGTATCTGAAATGGGATCTGAGTTCCTTTGGAAATACTTCTATTCTGCGACTTCCTTCCACTGAAATATGGAGACCGGATTTGGCATTTTACACCGCGTAACTTTAATTAAATTATACACATTCTATTGATATATATTGTAATTAAACTTTTATGTAAGTATCTTTTGACTTGATCTTTATTACTGGAAAATATTTCTCGTTCGTTCAGGTTACGCTTCCGCAGTTAACACCTCCGAAAAACTTCAAAACTAGCAATAGCGAAAATCTCACCTTATAATTAAACATTCCTAAACCTTCAGGCGAAATGAACTGTACTATATTTTTTATTTGAATAATTCATAGCAGTCATAAATGCAAAGCACTTCTTTGACAATGAAGTTGGATGCAAAGCACTTCTTTGACTCTTATAATTTTAAAGTAATTAAAACCCATATCAGAGAAGAAAAAAAAACAAACATTTATCGGAGAAAACACTATTGAAATATTACTCTTCTTTATTAAATTTTTGTATTTAAATAAAAAATCAATGAAAATAAGTAACGTTCCCTAATTAAAATGCTGGTTTATTTTGAAATCTAAGAATTCCCACCATATATTATAATTATTCCCTTTTATATAAGTTTATTTTATATTGTTACCCCAGCTCTCCCAAGTTAAATATCCGTGAATTACCATTTTTTTAACAAAAATTAACGCTGTTATTATTATTTGTTTTTGCTGATTTCAAAACACATCCCACTTACTTCAGCTGCCAAACAGTTTCGATAGGACTTAAATTCAAAACACATGTAACAGAAAAAGAAACATTCGCGAAACATATACAGCTAAGAAAAATAACTCTAACCAGAATTTGCGTAGATCATTTCTGACGAATTGCCCTACCCAGCAGCAGCTTAACAGATGTTGTAGATTAAATAATTAGTTGCTAGTTGGCTAATGAGAGGTCATTTATGTTGTGTAATTATGCTTTGGTGAGTTACTTCAGTAATGCATTTCTTTAATCCTCGTGGTAACCAATAATATATATATATATATGTATAATTTATGAATTTAAAATAAAATAAAAGAGGCAAAGTATGTTGTAAAGTGGCGCTCAGACGGGAAATTGGTTAATGACTCTGACTGCCGTACCGAAGTGCCCGGGTTCCAATCCAGAAGATGGTATCACGGATATTTAAAAGCATCATGCCTTTAGAATTACCGATAGAGTATTGGGGTTTGCAATACATATTCTTATATTAGCATTATTATTTTTTTGAAAACTATCCGCTCGGGCGGCCGGCCACCTAAAAGAGTTAAACAAAGAAGAAAAAAATCTGATCTTCCGTGTATACATTTTTTTCTGCACTTCATTTAAACTTATTTCGTCGAACTATTCTAACTTAGCCGATCCGTAAAGGCAAGTTGAAAATGATATCAAAAATTGCAGATTTTGAAATTAAATGTTCTGTTCAGTTTTTGTTATACGGAAGTCAAAGTTCTTCTATTTTTATATTTTCATAATGAATATAAAACTTTTCCAATCATAAGTATGGAAACCGAGAGACCGCATTAAACTTTAGTTTATTAAATTTCTTAAATTTCTTTAGTGGTCCAAAATTACTTTTTTAATTTGAAAAGAAATTACCAGAATACGAATATTTTCGTCGTTTAAAATACTTGTCTATGACCTGTATGTCTATGACCAACGATTGTGAAAATAAAGGACGGTTAAAGAATTATATGTAACCAAACCAGTGTATAAACACATATACACACTTTTGGTTATTGCCGATTGCGATAAAAAAGCACGTGCATAACTAGATGTTATAGAAGTCCTATATACAAAATAATCTTTTTTGAGTTTTTCGAAACACATATGTACACTGCGAGAAAAAAAGGGGGAGACAATTCTATATCTCCCTTCTACTAGGCCAATTGACGAAATTCAAACTGCGTTTTTCATGTCTCGAAAGCGCGACTTAGGTAGTATAATTATAGTTTTTTAATACGGATTTTGATCAAACGACTTTTGAAATACATCGATTTTTTCATATTCGATTTACAATCAATACGGCAACTACCAGTTTATAAATCGCCGGTTTTTTAAATACTTAAAATTTAGCTTCACGTTTATTTTAATCCTCATTTAATTGTAGGGTTTATATTTATTTTAAGAACTATCTTTCCTGTCAAGCCTTACTTTCCCCTGGAATTGCCAATGCCAGAGTATGTAAATTTTAGTAGAACGCGCAAGTATTCAAATTTTCAGCGGAAGTAATCTGAGTTAAATAGAAGGGAAACGAGTTTCGTAAGTGTGTGCTTTCTTGCTTCACGAGCGTGGAAGGTTGCTAGGTAGAAATTTAAGAACCGCGCGTTTCGGCCTGTGTGCCTGCCTCGGCAGTTAGTTGAATCTTTCAACTTCTTATTCAGAAGTTTGCTGAAATCTCAGCGGTATATCTTAGAACGCGGTTAGGTTAGTTACGTTTAGAGAGCCTCGTAGGTAGTGACTTGTTATTATTCATCCTTCATTTATTTTTAGTTTACTTTTTATTTTTTAACCGCCGGGTCGGCGTAGTTTGTGAGCGTCAAGAGCACGCAACTGTAATTTCTAAAGTTGAATAAAAAGGGATTTAAACCCTTCTTAAGACTTTGTGTAATTTCCAGTTCATAGCAGTCACCTACTATTGTTGCGTGCAAGTTGGGGCCGCGCAACATTACATTGGCGCCCGAACACTTGTCGAACTGAAATGGCCGAAAACTGGATGGAAGCTGCTGTACAAGTCCAACAACAAGAAATGGCAAGCCAATTGGAAGGATTTGGATACCTGGTCCAGACGATGAGAGCGTCAATCAAGCCAAACGTCAATTTCGACGGAAAAAGCGATATTTTAGAAGGCCTAGAAGAAAATCATTTCCAGCTCTACCCTGTGCCTGAAAGACAAAAAGTTGCCATTGCCACATCTGCACTAAGAGGACAGGCCTCGCTATGGTGGAAGAATATAGGGAAAATTTTTATTAGGGGAATTCGGAGGCCAAACATATACATTTGAAAATTTCAAAAAATCGTTATTAAAGGCCTTCCCCATAGTGAAAGATCGAGCAAAGGCTAGAAGCCGAACTATATAGTTTTTATCAACGGAATATAGAAGAGTTGACGGACTTTATTCTGCGAAAAATTAAGCTGACGGGATATGCTGTATGGGAAAGAAACCCGACGCGGAGATTATTGAAATAATCTTACCAAGATTGCTACCTGCTGTTCAAGATTACTTCGAAATTAGAAACCCAAGCACATTGCAGGAAGCTCTTCGAATTGGCGGTCAAGTTCCAAAATCGCAGAATAGCGGAAAAAGCTAGAGGGGCATCGTATTCTCAAAGTATCCGAAGGCAATCTTCAAATGAGCAGACCAGAAACACAAATCGCTCTTATGGGGGAAAGAGCTATCAAGCTAACTCATCGAAGCTCGAAGGTCAAGGCCCAAAAAGGAAATTTGAAAACAACCGTCCGCGTACCCAGAAGGACAGAAGTTGAAAGGAAAGCTTTAAACGAGTAGAGGGGCCTGTAAAAGCGAGGGTCCAGACCCCGGAAGTTTCGAAAAAAAAACCCTCAAGAATACCTTAAATACGGTCATCGTAAAGAACTCACAATTACCAATTATACAAGTCCTGGTTGGCGATGTACCAGTAGAAGCCCTCATCGATACAGGGGAGCAGAAGGTAATTTTATGAGTGATACATTTTTTAAGAAGAATTTTAATAGGTTACGATTATTTAAAAATAAAAACACAGAAATTATAGCAGCGCAAGGAAAAACTTGTCAATGTATCGGGAAATTATCATTAAAATACAGGTAAAAGATGAAAGCCTTCAAAGTATTAATTTTTGTAGTAAAAAATTTGCAAAATCCACTTATTTTAGGTATGGAGTTTTTAAAGGCCGCGAAGGCCAAACTGAATTTTCAGGAAAATTTCGATTGTGCTGGAGATGGATCGGAGGGTGGTGGAAGCCAGTGGAAACAACCGCAAGTGACCTTAGCCATTTGAATGACCATGAAAGCCAAGCCATCCAGCAAGTGGTGAGTACTTTTTCAAACTTGTTTTCAGAACGGCCTGGTAGCTGTCAAATTGTTACGCATGATATACAGTTAACTGCCGACAAACCCTGTAGGACTAAACCTTACCGCTATGATAAACAGAAAAGAACAAATCATCGAAGAACATATTCAGGAAATGTTAAAGAACCAAATAATAACGCCCATAAATAGTGAGTACGCGAGTCCAGTCGTACTATGTAGGAAAAAGAACGAGTTTCCTCCTTCGGATAAAAGGGCTTGGAGGTTTGCTATCGATTACAGAAAACTTAATAGTATTACTAAATTCCCAGTTTACCCTTTGCCGGTTATAGAGGAAATTATTAGAAAGATTAAATCTACGAGATACATGACTACTTTGGACTTAACGTCTGGCTACTATCAAATAGCTATGAGACCCGAAGACATACATAAAACCGCGTTTATAACAAAATCGGGCACTTATGCATTTTTACGCATGCCCTTTGGGTTGTGTGTGGCCCCGTCAACATTCCAGAGAGCTATGGACATTGTTCTAAAGCCTGTCCTAGGAAAATCGACTTTAATCTATCTAGATGATATAATTATAACGAGTAGTACGTTGGAACAACATATTAAAGATCTAGAAGAAGTTTTTAAATTATTAAAAGAGGCCGGTCTTACAATTAACGCCTCAAAATGCAAGTTCGCAACTAAAGAACTTAAATATCTGGGTTATAAAATTTCGCAAAAGGGTATAGAAACTCAAGATTCAAAAATAAAAGCCATCAAGAATTTCCCACCTCCCAACACCGCCAAGAAACTTTCTTCTTTCCTTGGGTTATGTTCTTATTATCGGTCGTTCATAAAAGATTTCGCTAATATTGTTGAACCGTTGTTAGTAATTAAAAGAAAAAAAGTAAATTTACGTGGACAGCAGAAGCAAATACGCATTTGAAAGGTTAAAAGAAGCGCTCATCAATGCCCCTGTTTTGAAATTCCCGGAAGGGGACGAAAACCTGGAAATTGCAGCAGATGCGTCGGACTATGCCGTAGGTGCGGTTTC